TATTCGTAATTAAGACCTCAATTAACCCCCACATGCAAGTTTTCATCAACTTTGCTGAGAAAAGTGGTGGGCGCCAAATTGGTGCGTAATGGCGCCAAATGACGCCAGCGCTCGAAACGGATGTTATATTGGTGATCAAATTACATCCATAGGCCACGTTCCAGCGAAATTTTTTTGAGTTTTTTGGGGTAAAAGTAGTTCAATAGTGCCCATGAAAGTATAGGCGTCAAATAGACCGCTTCAGACCGCGCGATCTGATCGCCCGATTCGATCGCGCGACCACGGCGGGGGCGCGACAGCAGAATCCAAACTAGACCGCGTGTACCCAGTGCCTATTTGAACTGTGCTGCTGCGGCGGTGCACTGTTTGGCGATGGAGCGCCTATCGTGGTCGCGCGACCCGATCGCGAAGTCTGAGCGCAACCTTTAGCCGCTGGCGGACGCTCAAAATGGAGGATCGAAAATGCTGGCGGACGCTCAAGACGCTGGTGGACGCTCCAAATGCAGAATCGGTACCTATACTTTGTTAGTCGCTCGTCGCAAAACGCTCAGAACGCTTAAAACGCTCAAAGCACTGACAGAAGCTCAAGACGCCATTGCAACGTATGAACGGACTCTAAGAAGAATAGAAAAATTGAAGAAATTCTCACATAACGTATCACTACCAGTTAGACGAAGCTCGCAAAATCTCGAAGCATCCCGCGCAAGGTAAACCTAGAGTTGTACGTTTTTGCCAACAGACTGCACAAAACAGCTAAAGTACATCACCAAACAATTTTCGTACCATAACCACGCGAGGATAAACTTCCACCACTGGTTTTCCATTTTTGGAAATAACTTTCCGACAAATGTAGTCACGGTCGACCAGTTCCAGACCATAAACCTCCTTTAAACGGTTGAAAACGGGTTCGGGAAGAAGGTGAAAATCGACTGATTCGGCCAGATTTGCTCGTAAAAAATATGCATCGCCGGCTGAAACATACTAACTGAAAGCGAATTCCACCTTCGGCAAAGAGCATTAGCACTGCCCCAACCAAACCAGATAATGACACATTAAAAAAAGTGAAGATTCATAAAAATGGGGGTGCTTATGTGGTAAACCCGGGAATTCGGTTCTACCTGAAGAGCAGCTTGGAGAGGCCGGGTTAAGGTTGGGATAGGTAGGGCATGGGACAAGATGTAAAAAGCACATGACCTATGCGAAGCCCCGCCCAAATGGGCGAGGCACGCGCTGGAAAGTAGCGGTGTTGCGGGTGAAAACTCACAGTTTTATTCCAGAGCAGTGCAGAGATGAGGAAACAGTGGATTAACCTTAATAATGGATTGTCAGACTCATTTGGGGTAGGCACTCGAAATAAGTGGGGCGTACTCGAAATTTGCAGTGCTTGCCCGAAATCCAGTGAGAAAATGCTCTGCCAGTTTCTACGCGTTGCCGCAACGAGGAAACCACAAAGAACTGAATAGCGTTTCGCAGCGATGATAGAAACCTTCGAAAGCGCATATGGTAAACCCGAGGCTCCAAGGAGAGTGCCCCCACCCTCAAGTGGGTGTGTCACTTACCACGTATATGTATAAAGTTGGAATGGACCGAATAAGTGCAGCAGCAGAACGGTAAGTGCACGTGCGGTTCAGAGGGCCAAGCTCGAGTGGCCCGCAGAGGGGCCCTAAGCTTACGTGGTCAGCATGGGATAGAACAGCATGAAAGATACTTTTATGCTGTTAAAACTCTAAGACCATATCCCTCTTCCGTTCAGAACAATGTTATTTCTGAAATGATTATGACCGCAGCAAAAGTGAAAATGTAAAATGGGATCACTATTTAACAAAATTTTTGCTATGTCGCAGTTTTCGTCACCATCCTACGACATATAATCGGTTAAGTGTGTGTGTGTGTGTGTGTGCGTGTGCGTGATGCGTGTGTGCGCGTGTGTGCGTGTGTGTGTGCGAGGCGGGTGTGTGGTGTGTATTGTGGTTGATTAAATTCATAGCGCCGGTTCCAACAACGATGCGACTTTGGTTCCAGGATATAATGAAGGGTATGGGACACGAACATTATTGGTGCGTGAAAGGAAGTGATAATGGATAGCTCTGGCAACGGGAATTAGAGCTCAAGCGTCGCCTGATTCATAACGCGCGTCAGAGTAAGACAGCGTTCAGACTTCGCGACGGCAGCGCCTCGGTCGCGCGTTCGGCGCGATCGATGCGCATGCTTTCGACTGCATCGATCGCGTCGAACGCGCGACCGAAGCGCTGCCGTCGCGAAGTCTGAATGCTGCCTAAGGTAGGAAGCCTGTTCCAGTAGGTAAGGTGAGGGATATGACGGTACATTACTGATGGGGAATGAAAGGAATAACAACTGATAGGGGTTCATAAGGAGCGTTGCCGACTCGTCTTTCTTCAAGGTGGCCTAAAACCAAATCATGAAAGTGCCGTGATCAGCACAATGGTAATGGGCCACAGGTAATCACTTCAATGGATAAATTTAATGAGGATGGATAAGAGGTTATCTTCATTTCAGTTCTTACCATTATACAGTTGGATCATGGGTACTGCAGTTTCAGTGTGTAGTGAGCTCATTCCTTCATCAGGGCACTGGTCATCACTGGTTGGGGATTTTGGTCTAGTCTACACAACCCCTCCCCCTCCCAACAGCGAGCATATACGACCCCGCCCCTCCACAATGTCTCCGAAACAAGAAAAATCAACTGTTAAGAGAAATTTTCTCAGCCAAAATACGACCCCCCAGCTCTCCCGGCGACCAAATACGTTGTTCATCAACGGAGCAGACCGTTGTTGAGGATTCCCCCCCCCTGCTGAGGAATCCCCAACAACGATGTGCCCTGTCCTTCACTGCATGTCGAGTGGAGAGGGGATAAACATATAGAGCGGGTGAAACGGGAAAACCAACGATCAAAAAAGTTGGTAGCTAAATACGTTTCCAAGCAATAATGATATATCTCAGCAGAGGTAGGTATGATTGAACTTCTACGATATTTTCACAACAAGGGCGTATTTCTATTGAGGCAAACTTCATTCGCGAACTAAATTTGGCCCTGTAGGATGTTAGGGCCTACTTATTTCTCGTCAACTGTTTACCATTTCTCCTTCGGTTTCAATGCACGATGCAACCGCATTATTCAAAGTACTATTTTCATGGCGTGAACAAAGGAGTGCACGGATACCCCTTCAAAACGTTGTACTTATGCTGATAGATCCACTGTTGTTGATCCATCCTACTGCGCCAATGCTTCTAGCAGAAGTTTTGAAGCAGAAATGCGAATATAACGGTAGCTTACATTTACATGAAATTGAAGAGTTGTTAATTGCCGGAATATCCTCGACGAAGCCTTGCCTAGCAGCCTCTAGTACTTTTGTCCACCAGGCATTGCTAACAACGTACCTAAACAGAAAACTGCTTTCAAACTCTTCGAAGGGATAAAAAGAAAGGAAGAGTAAGCGGTTAGCTCAGTTCCCTTTCGAGCCTGGAAACGTGGAATCTGGTCCCATAAGGCTGCCCTCTGGATCTCGTTTCACATGCAACTTTCTCGCATCCATTTCACCTAACAACCTTATCATCCCCTGAAACTCTGAGAGTTGGTTCAGACTTCGCGATCGGATCGCTCGATTGGATCGCGCGACACTGCCGGGGGCGCTCCACCTAACGATGCACCGCCGCAACGGCAGAATTCAAATTTGACCGCGTTCAGAAAGTGCCAATTATCGTGTCGTTGCGGCGATGCACCGTTGGCGGTGAAGTACCCCTGGTCGGGGTCGCGCGATCCGACCTTGAAGTCTAATCACCCTAGAGCAAATAAAGCGAAATCTGCGGCTGTGACAATTCAGGTCCTGCCAGAATGAAGAGCGTGGCCAAAAACTGAAACGAGCACAATCTAATTCAATAATGCAATGAGTTTATTGCGTTTCTCATACGCTCCAACCATGAGGCATTCTGACACCTTAGAGGGGGAATTGACACCAAGCTTTCGAAGAGATCCAACGGACACCAAACAATTCCTAGGCGAAACGGACGCTGTATTATATTCAACCTTGGAATTTTCTAAGAACTCGTTCGAACTTCGCGGTCGCTCGACACCACCGGGAGCGCTCCGTCGCCATACGGCGCGCCGCCGCAACGGCAGAGTTCAAACTGGGTCGCGTTCACACAGTGCCGACTTGAATTGTGCCGCTGCGGCGGTATAATTCAAGTTGGCGGTGGAGCGCCCCCGGTGGCGGCCGCGCGATCGCGATGTCTGAACGCGGCAGGGCACATCGTTGTTGGGGAGTCCCCAACAGGGGTCGTATTTGGCCGCCAGGAGAGGGGGGTCGTACTTACTTTCTGGCCTTTCTAGGAGTGGTGGTTGACTTTTCGTGATTTTGCTGCTGTTTCATGCGTACTATATACCCCCCCCTCGCAAAATTTTTGGGAAAAAGTAGGGAAGTTTTCGGGAAATTTTGGAAAAAGTGGCAGGAAGTTGGGGAAAATCTGAGAATTGGTAGAGGGGGGGGGTCGTATTATTGTCTCGCGGCTTTTCCCTGTTTCACATGTGCTATATACCACCCCCTCCCCGCTCGACGGCTTGATTTGATGAGGGACGGAGGGCCGGAGGTGGGGGCGTACCACCCCCCCCCCCAAAAAAAAGGGGGGGGTCGTACGGACTCGACTAAAATCCTCAACCAATGATGTGCCCTGGAACGCCGTTATAAAGAAAAGTCGAACTAAGACAAACCAATTGCTTTCAGGTTCCAATGGATATTCTTGTACGTCTGAGATCAGTCGATTCAACTCCTTTACTGTGACACGACCATTGCCTTTTTTGGCCACTACCGTATCCATTGCAGTGTTATCATCAGAACCTCTTTCGTCGATCCTTGTCATCCCGTATAAAACGGGACTAAATCATATAATATAAGTACTGTCGGAATAATTTCAAAATCACTTTTCACGACTTTTAGAAAAACCTAAAAATGAAGAGGGCATTGAGGTGGGAAGAAGGATCAAGTAATTGTTTCCGTCAAAATGTTGGAAATCAGCGCTAAGAGCTTGAAAGACTGAACCATGCAATGAGTTGTTGAAGTGATCGACAAGCGAGGCGGAAAAGAGTTCGCTAGGACAACAAGCTTAGTTATATAGCAAATGATGGACAAGAAGCTACCTTACGCATAAATGACAGATAGTCCAGGTATGATCAGCGACTGCACTATCATGAGGTTGTTTTGTACGAAAGGGTTAGTTCACGAATTAGGGGCGCAAAGTACATCGAGAGGGGGTAGACTGCTTTTGCGTCAGCACTTGAGTAGTCTTATATATTCAGGGAGGAGAAAACCCTGGATGGATTAACACTTGATAATTGTGGAAAGCTGCACGAAGCGAGGCAATTCACTCTACCGGGAGCTCCTTTCCTTAGAAGTCGCGTGGTGCGAGACGATTCACCCATTTGGGAGCTCCTTTTTCTCTCGAACTACTAGGCTACTTTGGCGACAATGTAAAATAACACTCTGACTCCCTTAACAAGGAGCACAAGTTGCTATTAATGTACTTTATTTATGCGGGGACCTTGTCGAATACTTGGATCAGCACTAGCATGTTTCCCGCGGAATATGCACAAAATTCATTTGCAATCGACGGTAAATCGTTTACCGCGGTGAACTCACTGTTTTCCGAATGTTTCAAGGATTAGTGGAAATAGATAAGAGGGTCAAAAGAATAAAGAAATCGAGGTTGGTCCTGCCACGAAAATTTTGGGAAGTGGTCCAACAACACACAAGACCGGGGAAGCAATTCTTGCTTTTAAAAGGTGCAGAGTAGCCATATGAGTGGTATCCCTGCTGACCCTTTAGACCCCTTCGAAAAAATATGAAGTTTCGTCTACGATCCAGAGGAGTCCTGATGAAATATGCACGCAACTTCCCCATAGTTGCGAGCCGTTCAAGACCAGTCACGCGTTCAGTTGTATTCAAAAAATAGGTTTCAGCACAAACAACTGATAATAGGATTCCTTCAAGAAATCCAGGGCGAGACAATGGCTTCCAATCGATCAAAGGTGTTGAGTAATCGTGCCCCACAAATGATGCTATAAGCGCTGAAGAACCTACCAGAGTTAAAGAAACAGTTCAACGACTAATCAACAATCCATCGGCAACACTTGACAAATAAGAAGAAACACTAAGAATGTGTTTCATTGCTTCCCAAATGATGAGAAGGAGCGGCGGCTCGGTTGTGAATCGACTAAATCTCGAGCTACCTCGAATGGGAATGTCGTAGTGGATTAATGTGTTTGTATTGAGAAATAAATTGAAAATGCTCTTGTTCCCTTGTAAATTGAAATAAAGGGACGGTGAGCTAGCACGGAATACTGACCCACTGTCAAGAGCAGAAGTTAGCGAGCAGGCCATTTAGTAAAGGGCAAATAGGAACAGCGCCAAAACCGAGCCAGGTTTCAACGTAGCGTTAGTGCTTCGCGTGGAGCATTGCATGTATGTGGAGCGCGTTATTTCCCAGTGAAACCATACGTTTGTTCTGAGCGGCGGGGGGGGGGGTATGACAGTGTTCATTCCGATTCACATATCTGATTGAGAAGGGTACTTGCTAACGAGTTGGGCTGGGGGGAGGGGACTACGCGGCAGGCTGCTCTGCTGGCGGACGTGATTGCTTCCCATATCAAGCTCTTGCATGCCGTATTTTGCTCCGGATAACTCGTCCATATTCGTGATTGCTCGCCCTACTTTGCCAGAGTTGTCCTTTTTTGTCTTCACTTCTCTATCAATACTACTTAGCTAAATGGAAGTATAGTTATGTGAGTTATGGGGCTCAGACAGTGACATTAAGGTAGTTCATTAGTGAAGTAAAATGCAAAAAAAACATCGGATATGCCCTATATAGGACCCCAGGTTGTACGTGCTTGAGGCGAAGAGAAGGCGCGGCCGCACGAGTTCTCACTTGTTGGTATCAGCTGTTTTCCCTTATCACCTCACTCTCACCATTCGACGTGGAGAGAGTTAGTAGCAGAACAACCGCACCATCAGGCAACCAGAAATGAAGTTGGGCGTAGTGGTCGCCAGGTGGGCGGGGTGGCCGACTCTTCACGAGCGGGCGCCGCTATTCTCTCGCATTTTTGAGTTGCGAAACTAGTACGTCCACCATCCTCATAGGGTGAGCTACGATATCCAAAGAAGGCGTGGGAACACCAAATGAAAGTGGGCGCTGCCTTTAATGAGAGAAAGTTTCAAGCGTAAAAGTGTCCAGGCTACAGGATATCTTGCAGGGAACAGAAAAACCGTAAGCCAACTGAAAGAAAAGCCAAAATGTCCGAAATGGAGCACGCTAAAGTAAGGTCAATGGGTGGACAAACTAAGCAGGGACCACTCATCATGCACTGCAAGATTCTTGGACCTTGCAATTTCACTCGAAAGTGTTCATGATCAAACCACTTCTAAGTAAGGTAAGCGGCATTGAAATTAAAGGCAAAGCCCGCGACCACAGATTGTGGGTAACGGAACCCACATAGGAACGAAAAAGGGCTAGGTATCTGATTAGCGGAGAAAAGCAGCAGAAAAACAGCCGAAAATGCCCTAAATAGGATTCCATATCGACCCCAACTTGTACATGCATGCAATGAAGAAAACGCATGTTTGTACGAATTTCCACTCGTCGTTATCATAAAGATATCAGCTCTTTTATCGTATCACCTCACTCTCACCATTCGGAATGGAGAGAGATAGCATAGTGGCTACTAGCTAGTAGCTAGCAGCCGGTGGGGGTCGGCATGGGCCTAAGGGGCGCCCTTGGGCCTAATTGGTTAGCTTGGAATTCTTGCGGATTTTCACTTTCTAAAGGTAGCGCAGCCTCCGCAATCTCCTTCCGGATCGTCTGACACATTTGAAAGGTCATAGCCTTATTTTATCGCGGAAAGTGCCTTTAAGAAGTGAGGACGAAGGAATAGTTCAGAAAGAGACGGAACCGATTACCACGGTCATCGATGCGCAATTGTGCATCTCGGCTGGTGTCCTGCCAAAGCAAGGTGGGTACTCACGTCAGTCGTCATGCTGTCTATGGACGAGTTGTCCGGAGCAAAATACGGTATGCGAAGACCTGGTATGGGTGGCAACTGCTGGCGCGGCGCACTACCCGGCATGCACCGCTTCTGCTGCCTCCTCGTCGAGGAAGTGTCCCGTGTGTTTGGTTGGGTTTAATGAGACTGTTTCAAGGTACATAACTTCGTTATTTCAGGGTAGAAATGAATACAACACCGTCGTTGCAGGGCACGCCATTGCGTTGAGATACAGCTTCGGGAAAAAAATTTGGAAGAAGCCACATAATCGCGTTTTAAACAGTTCTGAGGCTCTTACTCGACGGGAATACGGTTGGAAAAGAGAGCACATAGCGGGAGACAACGAGAAAACACTATTGAGCCCTGAGTTCGCTTTGCTTACTATTGGACTTCGTTAGAGCCTTCATCATCCGTGAATCGACTCCACAGGAGCTTCAGGGGTATCCACGGATATTCAACTCCAAATTCCCTAAAATGCATGGAACTGCTCACTCGTGTTGGTGTCTTCTTTCCTTTGACTCGTGCTTCAAGTCATCTCAAAGATGCCTGATGGGTTGAGGTGAAGGCTTTTACTCGGTCATTTTGTCATCCCATGCTGGCCTTGGGTGCCGGAACCTAGATTTCACGTACTTCTGTATTTGCTTAGGGTCGTTTTCACTGATTCTGAGACAGTCTCAGGCATGCTTAATCTACATCCACAATTTCACATACAGAGGGGGGGGGCAAAAAAAGTCACTTCGACCGAGTCACATATCAGCAAAGTTTTCGCTGCCCAGACAGAGGACGTGGATACGAGTACCAGGGCGGAAGATACCCAAGATGTTCCTCGATAAGCAGGAGCTGGCTCTCGCCCATCACCTTCATGTACACCAAAATATGAAGTCATCTCCAGTCGCAGCCTGACTGGAGAAGACCTTTGGAATTCATGTCACCTCCAAACAGCTGCGAAACTTCTAGTATGGAGTCACCCATGGATAGCTACCTGGAGACCAGTACTCTCGATCTGGATGACCTCCAACATCGAGCAGCTCCGACAACGTCGCCACGGTCTAGGACATCATCTTCACCACAGTCGCCAAGGCGCGGGTTGATGGTATGGACCGGACGTACCTGGAATGGAAAGACCAATATTTTCTTCGTGGACCCCGGACTGAAGGTGAGCGCTGGCGGTTACATTGAGCAACTCGTGAAGAATATCCTCCTCACATGTCGTCGCCCGTACCTTCTTGGAAACTTTGTACTGCTACAGCATTGGGTGCCACCACATGGAATTGGAGAAACTCTCGCCTACTTGGAATGGAAGGGGGCTGAGTACCTAAAGAAGATGGAACCAAGTAGGTCACCTGACCTGAATCCCCTCAATTACCCGGTTCGGGCGGAGTTCAATAGGGTGGTCTACGGTGGCGGAGAAATCGACTATCTCGCTGATCTCAGGCACCACATCGCGGTCGCGTGCCAGAATCTCTCGATGGCGCTCGTCCAGAAGGCTGTGGCGGAGTGTCATGATAGTATTTAATATGCTCTTTAATATGGTGGTAAAAATGTCCGATCAGAATTCAATAAAGTGTAACTTATAGCGCCTCGAAAGTCAATGAAGAAAAGTGACTTTTTTTGGCCCCCCTCCTGTATGTCAAGGAAACTCAAGAATAATTTGATAGATGATTCCTATTCGTTTTGGCTTGTTCGAAGTTTTTTTTTCCGCAGCTATAAACGTCTGCTAAATACGAAAACGGCCGTCGCCACGCCCCCCCCCCCCCCAAAAAAAACACAAAAATGTGGATGATATCAAATGGTAATTGTATTTTAAATATTTGCGCACATTCAGACT